CCCTCCCCCCCCCCCAAGGAACCCCGGCTCCAGGGAAATCCCCCCCGCCAGTGAGGGCAGGGGGGAGAGGAGGTCGCTCCGCTCCTCTCCGCGATATGCACGGCGGCCGAGCAGAAATGGGGGTCCCCTCACTGACCCCGCGGCTGGCACGAGACGCCCCTCAAAGCCCCACCGAGAAAGGAAGCGGGAGGCCCCCGCCGCCCCCCCTCCAGCCCCTTCCCCGCTCCTCCTCCCCCAGCCCAGTCCCTGCCGGAACCGCTCCTCAGCAAGGAGCAGCTCGCCAGCACCCCCCTCACCTTTGCACGGGATGCAGTTTGGGGCTCCCCCATTAAAAATCATCCACTTAAAAAGCGTGTTGTCGTTGACGTCCTCTTCCGTCCACGAAGTTGTCAGGCGGCCGGTCTTGCAGCACTCCTCCTTGCTGAGGTCGGTTTTGTAGAGGACCTGGCAGCGGCCGTTCCGCGCCTGCCGGAGCCAGCAGTTCCCAGCTGCGGGGGGGCAGGGGGAGACACCCAGCCGGATCAGTGGCCGTCACCGGTGACCCAGACCCAACACGTGCGCCTTGCAGTGACTTTTACTAGACTGTTGACTTTTATTTGTCCCATTTCATAACCCGCGGCTACTCCGGCCCATTTGGGAGCGCAGTTTAAAAAAAAACCAAAACCAAAAACCGAAAAAAAAACCAGAAAAAAAGACCCGATCAAAACAGGACGAGGCAGTTCTCGGAGGTATTTATTCCATATGTAGAGCAGAAGGAGCACTGCCGGCACGTGACAGAGGCTTGAAAAGGATGTGCATTTAAAAGGGAATAAAAAGAAAATCGCGCTTGCAAATTCCTTCCTCCTCCCCCTGCCCTCTCCTCCTCACCGCGGCTGCACAGCAGCATTGTTTTAGTGCCGCACAGAGTTTCAGTCCCAGCCCATTTTGCAATCTGCACGAATTGGGAACATTTGCTGTTAGCGAAGTCTTTCGAAATCTCCACGTTTTGCTGCTTCTACTAACAAATGTCTTTCCTTCCCCAAAATAACTCAGCAGAGCTCCAAAAAAAGTGAGCAAAGTACATAAAATACAAGGGCACACAGAGTAGGAGGTCCCTACCGAGTTTTAAAAATCGGAAAAGCTGGAAAAGTTATAGGTGCCTTCTCTCCCGCAAGCATTTCAGAGGAAAGTACACTGTCCTTAAACCGGATGAAGTGGGTTTTGTTGGGGGTTTTTTTGCCCTTCTTTTTTTTTTTACTAGTATCCCTGTTATTTGTGGAGTCAAGCCAAGAACATTAGTCCAAGCAACTCCCCTTTTTTAGCTGGAGAGTTTTGGTTGGGATGAGTCTCTCGTGAATAACCAATGTGACTTCTCCAGCAACTCAATACCAATTGATTCTGGTGCTAATCCAGCCAGGGCTCGATCCTGCCTCCTTACTCCGATGGGAACGTACCGCAGCGGGGGGTCAAGATCGGCCAGCCGAGATGTCGCTGGGCGCAGGGGAAGATCTACCCCCCCCCCCCCCCTAAAAAAAAATTAAAAAAAAAACCC